TCATAATAATAATCATAATCATAACTATAATCATAGTCATAATTAATTGCTTGTTACATAGAGCTCTGTCCTTTACAAGTATAAGTTGTGAGCTCTTAACATCGATGACATGACAACTGAGAATAAACCTTACTCTAAAGAAAAGAAACTCTACTACCACATAAAGGAGACCTTTTTGAGCCATACATTTATTCTTCTACTCCTTCCGGCGTCAGGTCTGGAGCAGACATTGACAATCATGGCACCGCATTTCTTTATGTTGACTGTCTTCTTGATCAGTTTGGTTTTTCTCTTTGAACTATTCGCTGCAAAGTTGTTCTGGCCATGTATATTTTGTTCTTTGTCTTCTTCTGCTCTTCTTTTCTTCTTTCTATCCAGGCAGAAGCAGTTTCAGTAGACCATTTGATTTAATTATCGGACAAAAAAATTCCGTTGACTTTTTCTGATCGTTCTGATTATAAATCTTTCACAACCTGCCATTTTGAGCACTTCTCTAATTAATTTCTTTTTCTCTCTGTAATGAGATTCTGAGAGTTTCGGTGGCCTCCATTCTTCTCTCCGTTTCCTTATACACTAATTACATACATATAATGAGGACGGCAAGTCTTGCACATCAGAGATCTCTCGGTGGTCATAAAATAGATAAAAGTAAGCATCGGCTGCCACCAGAACGAAATTGAAAATCAATTCTTAGCAAAACTTAAAATACTCTAGTCTAACATGAAGAGTACTTTCGAAATCGGAATTTGGCTGCCTAGAGTAGGAAAAACAGTCACCTACGTAAACATCAGTTGCACTGCAGGTTAAAGAACTAGCAGTCGACTACCCATGAGATCTAGCAGGGGAATGCAAAGAAGACAGAAGGAAAGGACAAACTACCCACATACCTCAACTAAGACGTAAACAAAGGCGTCGTTACCAATCGTTCAAGCATTATTCAGCTTTATAATAATTATTATATCATGCAGTATGTTTAATTTTCTTAAGGAAAATACGAACGGTTCAAAAGTTTGCATGGTGATTGTAAACGTTTTAAGCATTAAAAAATAACGTTGCTCATTCTCGCTGTCCATTTATTGATATTGTAATTGTGTATTTATTTAAAAAGTCCAATAAAGATAGAGCCGCACTCTCGAGATACCGTTCCCGATATGGTGTGTGCCTTAACAACCAACGAGACTTCTGCATGCTTAATTGTTCGTTAAAATAAAGAGTTGATTATAGCTATCAATACATGCCGGTAGTTG